TCTGCTGCGAGGATGGGAAAGTTGAAGAGACTGTGCACCAGGCAAAAGCTTATCAATTGGTTTAGGAAGCACCAGTGACAGAGTCTAGGTGTATGGAGAGAGGCTTGAAAGTAAGAAAGTTTTAAGTGATACAACAGGAAGATGGGATTTTGAAAAGATGTGTGAAATAAAATTAACCAGAAATTGATCCAAGATCTTAAGAGACAATTTCGAGACTCATTCGTTTTAAGGTTTACTATTGAGACTTTCAAACACACAACAAATAATTTTCCAGTTGGGTTTGATATAAACATGCAAGTTCTTTTGCAAAACAGTTTCTGTAAAGACAGCATTGTTCTAGGACCTGACATGCTTCAGAAATTGCACATCCAGACTGAGTTGAATGTTCTAGAGTAATTCTGCCATGATGTTTAGAAATGTTCTTACTCTAAACAAAAAGCCTGATCATATTGTATTACTCAAATGTGTATAAGACTAGACCTGACAACACATATTAGTGTACAGTTTGAGACTGCATCAACAAATGACTTTTAAAAATCAGTTGTAAATATGTTGATCTAACCTAGAATCAGGTTAAGAGAAATCCTAGGTGGGGATGTGACAGCTGAGAACCTACAAATATCTTGCTTGTGCTGAAATTTTACTTGCTTTGTTTGTTTCAAATTCTGTTTTTATTTTTTAAAAAAGTGAACTGCACAGTATTTTAATTTATAATCTGCATTAGATTGTTCTAGTTTACTGTTATATTATATGGCTTGGCAGAGAGGATATTTCCTTTCTCTCTTCTGCAAAACAGAAAAATATCCACTGAACAAAAGATAGGTATATAGCAAGCATTAAAGTAGTCCTCTAAATCTTATGAAAACATTTAGTTTCTCAAACAGTGCTTTAGAGAAGTGGATTTACTCTCTCTCATCCAGCAGAGGGCTACCAAACTCCAGGAATTTGTATTTGTACACATAACAAATTTGTATAGCTTATTTGAGTTTTCTGTTTTCTGGGTTTTTTTGGTGTTTTTTTCTTTAAGCAGCGGATCTTTTTCTTCAAATGGAGTTTTCCTGTATGTAAAGGAGGTGCCCCTGGAGCTGCTCGAGATTGCAGCAGGGCCCCTGAGCTGCTTCTGCAGGAACCCCAGTGAATTGTGGAGGCTAATGGAAACCCTCCGCTCTGATTTATCCAAAAATACTCTTCCAAATTCAAAGTCAGCTCTTTTTGGGTAGAGTCGTAAATATCTTTCGCTCCGTAAAAATCCTAACGCTGACACTGCAGAGAATAATACATAAGCAGAATGATGTCCAAGTTATGAAAGTTCCTCGTACTGGGTTTGTCTTCAGTTGTATTTGTAACTCCTACCCTATGGGTGTATGTCTTGTTTTTGTCTTCTTTCAGGAAAGATGACATTTTATCTCCAATCTTATGAGTGAAAAGGGATTTATTTTGACATTTTCTTCCCAGTATTACATAGGTGTGCCAAACTGACGGACCGATTGACTGTGTCCTTCTATATTTATTCCTGTAATGAGGTCAGTTTTGCCCTCTAATTATGAGACTGAAAAAGCGTTCCATCACCTCCCTATTTATTATTGTACTTTGGTAATAAATTTATGTGTAAAAGAAAGTATGACAGAGGCTTCTATTTGGAACTATGCCTACTTGGTAGTCAAATGGTAACTGTTCTTTGTTTTGTTTTTCCATTCAAAAGGGAGCTTTTGTAGGATGTCCTTTATTCTGATTGAGGCCTGCCGTAAATCTGTGGTACTGAATTCACTTATGTAATTTGACTATAGAGCTATCGTTTCACGGGGGCTAGTAAAACTTTCTCAGGCACTTCAGTTGTCTTAGTCAGTCCAGGGTGCTATAACAAAATACTACAGACTGGGTAACTTATAAACAACAGAAGTTTATTTCTCATAGTTCTGGAGGCTGTAAGTCCGAGATCAGGGTGCCACTATGGGGTCAGGTGAAATGAGGGCCCTCTTCCAGGGGAGCAGACTTCTCCTTGTGTCCTCATGTGGTGCAGAGGAGGCAGGGAGCTCTCTGGGGTCTCTTTTATAAGGGGATTAATCTCACTGGTGACCTAATCACCTCCCAAAGGCCCCACCCACTAATACCATCTCAACTGGCATTAGGATTTCAACATACGAATTTTGGGAGGACACAAACATTCAGACTATAGCACAAGTTCACTGACTTTAAGCTTCATTCCACAGTGTTACAAAGCTTTGTGTTGGATTTCATCCTTACCAAACAGTCTGAAGAATTGTGAGCTTATTAATGATGTTGGTCATCAAAGGGATCAGCATTTTCTTCCCACACTATTTTTGGGGGCAATTGTATCTTATTTCCATCTATTCCCTGTGTTTCTGTCTTACAAGTCTACTTTCCTCCCCTTTCATGCTTTTATATTCATGTTTTGTTTTTTTTCTCAGAACAGTGATCACAGTAGTTACTACTCATTGAGCACCTACTACAAGTTTTACAGGTGCCATTGCTCTTGGTTCTGTTAGGTAGACATTACCCCCGTTTATATAGAAGGAGATTGAAGACTACAGAGGCTAGGTAATGTATCCAAAGTTATAGAGCCCAAGTTGGAATCCAGACTCAAGACCCTTCACCACAAAAAGAAGCTCTCTTTTATAACGTTATCAAAACTGTGTTATATGATCAGTTAATAAGAAAAGATGGTTCAAGTGGAGACTCAAACAATAATACTTACATGCTTTAAGCATTTTATTTTAACTTGAAACATATACATTGGACTTCTTTTATCAATGGTTTGATGTTGGATCGTGACCTTTTGTTTAAGAATTTTTCACTGTTTGAGGTTTCATCTTGTGATCTTTGAATAAACAATACCTACCTATAGGTATTGTCTCATCTATATTTTCCAGTTTGGTGTCTTTTACTTGGAGTCAGAACTTAAAGACACTTGCAAAAAAATCTGATGGCAGGATTTCTAGATGTTTCTAAAGCCTGTCCCCCAATCTTTTACATTTGTTCCAGCCATTCTCATCACTCAACAGCAGTATTTATTAGGGATTCATCTTTATCAAGTCCTTACAAAGCATTTGTATCAATTTTCATAAAACAACTTTTTTTGTACCCATATTTTCTTAGATAATATAAGACATATTTAAATTATATAATTGTAATAACAAGTACAACTGGAATAAAAAGGTCAGTAATAAACATAGCTGGCTCTTGTAAGCATACAACTTTACTAGCTGGAGAAGAATGTGCAGATAGTATAGAACAACTAGTAAGCTGCAAGCTTCTAATATATGGTGGGCATCAGTAGTATTCCTAGAGGGAATGGAGACATCTTGTTAAGTAAAGGTTTGTTAAGAGAGCTTCTACTCTCTGTCTTTCAAGAAATGAGGGGAGAAAGAAAACTTTCTGTGAAGACATTGAAAGCTAAGTGCATCACAGGACTTGAAACAGTAAAAACTGCAGATGTTATGTTACAAAGTTTGTTGGGTTGAATATTGCCTAAAGTTTCTACCCAAGCCATCAGATTTGTTTTTATATAAAACTTTTAACTTGTGGAAAATAGTCTATTGTATTTTTTCAGTTACATCTTATTTATCTGTTAGATTTTGGTGACATTTTTGAATTTTCAGATGTTTAAGGGTGAAATTGCCTTTAGTTACTACATCGTTAACAAAACTTTTATTAATAAAATGTATGGCGTTCTAAAGTCCTATAGTACACATAGTTTCTACAATTCATTGGATGCTTCTATCGCTCACTTATCTAACATTTATTATTGTCTGTTCTTATGCAAAGTAGTATAGTTTGGTTGAGAGGTAGAGAAAAAAAAGGAAATAAGTCTGAACTCAAAGAGATTAGATTACTTAACTTCCTAACTAAGTGATACTATTTTGAGGAACCAGAACGGTTGGTTGGTTTGTTTGTTTGAATTCTTCTTTTTTGTGTCACTGCCTTGTTCATAGTTCCATTATCTCAAGTCTGTATAGGTTTGTTCTCTATTCTTTTGTATACTTCATTGTCTTTGATTGTATGCTGGTCACTGTACTTGGAAAATTATTTATGCAGATAATTTGAGGTCAAGGATGAAAGTGACTCTTGCCGAGATCTGTATTTACTGCTGCCAGGCTCTGTGGTCACGGGTGGTTTGGAGATCACCTGAGACCTGGTTCAAGGCTTGAGCTTTGTTGAAACTCCAGGCAGTAAAACCCAGGTTGTAAATCTGCTGGAAGGCGATTATTTACTATTCTACCCTTAGCCTAAGAGTATAGCTTTTGAAGTCCCAGGTGATTGTGGGGAGACCCCTCCATTAGACACTGCATCTTGTGTAGACATTGGCCTTTGATTTCTCATGAAGTTTTCAACATCAAAGTTCAATTTTTCTAGGGAAATACATTCGGGAAAGAAAAGCAATTTCTATGCTCATCTTTCAGTGGCTCCGTTTTCCTTCAGTTTTGCCTAGAATTCTTTTTTATAGTGTCAGCTATTTGTTGCTTTTAAGAAGTTGTTAATATTATATTCAGTATTCCTGGTTTGTTTTGGGGGAGGGTTGGTCAGGATGACCTGGCTCCTATTAGCTGGAAACACATGCTGTCCATGTAGGTGCTCAGTAATTTGCTGATTGATCTGATCTAGAAGTGATATAAACACCATGTCACAGAAAAGACTCCACTATGCCTTACCTCCGGAAATGTGGTTTCCAAAGAAAGTTTGATTTAATTTTATGCATTGGTTTCCATATTTATGGGCTATGACTTTGCATGAGTAAGTATAAAATGAAAAGTGCTGGTCGTGCCTAAAGCAAGAAACGCTGACTGCCTAGCAACAGATTTTCTTTATAGGTCAATTAAACAAAGATTGCGATAAAAAGGATATCTTATGTCTGTTGGTGAAGAAATGAAAACAGCTCATGGAAACTCTATATTGGCAGAGGTGGGGGTGGTGGTGGTTGTGGTGGATGGTTAACTAAATGTGATGGGGTCCAGAAGCAGTAATAATCCAGAAGTTTATACCTTCATAAAAATTACTAACCATCCACAGATACAAAAGGAGCACTTTGGAGCACTTCAATTTTTTAGTACCAACAATGCAGCCACAAGGGAATTGTTTTTTGAATGGTTGAATTATTGAAACAACATATGTTTTAAGTCTTTTATATTTATTGCCGTATCCACTGCACAGAAACTCCACTGGGTATGGAATTGGTTGTTGGAATTGCTGCAAGTGTTTATGTCCGTATTTTAATGATTAGGGCATTGGCTTGGAAAACTGGAGATCTGAAACATCTATCACTGATTGGGTGTTTGATCTTCAGCAGATTTGGGTATGCTCTAAGATACATTTTGCCATCTTTCTATTGTTAATTTTGAAAAATAATGAGATATTTTTGCTAATAATTTACTGGCCAGGAATACTTAGTTACAGGGCTGTAATTCATGGTCGATAAAATGTATAGAATAATAGTCCAGTCATTTCAACCCACATTTACTGGATTTTAAGCCTTTCTGATTTATATGCAAATATAAATTATTTCATGAAAATTAAGACACATGGCTTAAATTTGGAGTCACATAAAGAATAACAATTAAAAATAGTTTTGTCTCAATCAAGAAAAATTAATCTTTTCCTTTTGTAAATAGTCTAATGAAAACATGTTCTATCAAACTGTTTATCCTAGTAGCAGTTCTAACTGACATTATGCAAATATAAAACTTTCACGTGTTGATCAAACTTCTCTCTCCCTTACCAATTAAGCTGTTCCTTTGAGATGCTAAAGGTACTAACATATAAATCCTGAGGACAAATATAATTCCTAGAATAAAATATAAATTCCTTCATGGATAAAAGGTACACAAAAACATCTTCAAGGGCGAATAAGTTTGAGATTGCATTTTCACATTTTAACCACAATTCAGTGCTTTTTATTTGGCCAAAGTAAAAGGGCTAAGAAATACAGCCAGAGTGTTTATGAAAAGCTGTTACAAACCCAAAAGGGAAGTTATATGTGTTTTAAAAGACAACTTTAAACTGTCAGCAGGAGTTAAAACTCAACCCCAAGCTTTCAATCCCTAATAGACGATGGGGCTTTCTTACCCAAGATCAGTATGTTTTTCCTGAATAAATGTCCACTTATGAGAAGAGAGCAGCCCTGAGAAGACATTTAAAGGTTTTTAGAAATAGTTTGAAACTTGAAACCAGGCATTTGAAGATGGGGAAACAGCTTTCTATTCAAGATCTGAATATTCGTAGTTGTACTCACTGTAGATTGTACAGAGTGACGGAGATGTTGCAGGATGTCTGGAAATCGTTCGCTTCTAATGGTGGATGTTCATCTCCACTACGGCAGAGACTTTGTCATTTTCACTCCTGCATCCCCGGTGCTTCTCGACTGGCTCATATTAGGCCCGCAGTAACTGTATTTAAGAAAAAGGTGGCACCAGAGATAGAAGCTGTGCAGTAATACGGTGGGGAGAGTGAGAAAGTTTTTATTTTAAACAAATATTAAAAAAAAATATTTTAAAAGGCAAATTTTAGATTAATTCCGAGGCTTTCAATCTAAGATGCTATATAAAAAATTAAAAGGAGGATAGATTTTAGCATTATGGGGCTTTTCTGATTCCTGATGAACTTATTTCTTTATTTCTTGTCAAAGGGAGCACAGAGAAATAAATTTGATTAAGAAGCCTCAGTGAAGGGTTTTTCTGTTGGAAGAGTTTTTTACAGGGAGCAAACCTGGGCCGACTCCAGTTTACACAAGCTCAGCTAATGCACATGAACCTTTGTCCCTCTAGGCCTGCACTTTGGGAATGAATGAATGGAGTTGGGGATGGGGTTCAGCTGATGCCGGGAGAGAGAGGCCGTATCTCTCTTTTCCTCCTGAACTGTGGCTTTTTTGATTTTCCTTTCTCTGTCTGTGCCTTTCCCTTCCGTCTGCCCGTTGCAGACGTGGCTGCTCCGCTGATCCCCTTACCATACTCACAGTCATTATAGGGCTGAGGTCTTTGGTGACAAAATGCTAACTATTTATGACCTACACTTTGTGTGGCTTTATCTTCTTTATGTAAAGGGGTCTCCAGAGGGAAGCTTTTCTCTCCTTGTCTGCTTCCCATTGTAACAGCTGGAAAGTTTCTGTGACACATCAAAAGTGTTATGAGCTTATTTCAGAGGCTGGAAGGTGGGGGTCTTGAGACTGCTTCTGCTTTTCCGTCATAAACTATGGGAACTGCCTGTTTTGACTTGGAGCTGGGGTGTCCTTACTTCCATTCCTCAGGCAGAAGTAGAAGGAAGACACCATTTGGGTATTCTAACTTCAACCAAATCATCTCCTTACAGAGACCGTTGTCAATGGAAAGTAGGATCTGTTATATTATTAGCAAGCTCTGCTTTATTAACCTTATGTTATCAAATTGGCTTTTGGATTTGGCTTCAGGCAAAACAAATCGGGGGTGATACATCAACGCAGCCCCTCGTTCAGCTTGCTTTCTCTTACCCTGACCATTCATGAGTCTCAGAACACACAGGAATTCTCAAACATGGGCAAACACCGTTGAACTCGAGTAGCATAAACTCTTGGCTCATAGCTCAAGTGAGCAGAGTCTTTTTTTGCTGATTAGGTGATGTTTTAACTGTCTTCCTAGTGCATCTGCTTCTTTTCCCCCTTACCACCCACACTCCATTTTTGGTGGAGTGACAATATATGCTGTTTAATTGCATAGCTGCCTCTCCTGTGCGAGGCAGGGGAGAGAGAAGGGGATTAAGTTGCATATGGCCGGCTCAGTTGTTATTGAACGATGCCCTGACTGATGCCTGACGTCTGCAGAGGATTTTCTTTGGATTATGATCAATGGAGTGCTGGACACTGAGGACAGCAAATGGCCTTTTTCTCTCCTGTCTTTAAAATGAAGTATGTCCTCTCTGAAGGGCAATCTATCTATGCTGGCTCTCAAGTTTAAATGTAAACGACAGTGTGTTCCTTACTTTGAAGGCAGACACAAGCTTATCCCATTGATGGCCAAGATGCTTTGTGGAAGGAAGCAGCTTTTGTTACAAGTTCAAAATTCAGGCAGTGTTGTCTCTCCGCTGGAGGCTTGATGGAAAGACTCCTTGAATGCGGTGCCTGCATCATTTAAATGGCCGGGAGCTCCTGGGACTGGAACCTGGTGCCCTGTCTGTGCAGAGGTCAGCTGGTGAGTGCTCGCTGCTCTCTTTCCTCAGAAAATCGACACCGATTTTTTTCCATTCAAATAGAAATCAGGAAAGTTTGAGCAACAGGAATATACAGGAAGGAGTGATTTTAGAAAATCATTTCTCAACAGCTTACTATTGAATAAGTTGGTTGTAGAGAAACGACACTCCGACTGCGTAGGAATGTCTGATCTGCTCCAAAAAGGATTATGTGCTGCCATCCATCTCATGTGGGAGCAATATGTTCTATGATTGAGGAAAAGATAAATGAAAAATCGCGCACTAAAAAAGGACTCGTGATCGGTTATTTTATTTAAAAATATTCGTCCTAGCCTGTGAGTTCCTGTTTGGGGATTTGACCGGTAGAGCCCACAGCAGGAACTTTTGAGTGGGTGGCCTCTCCCGAAGTGGGCTGATTTAAGAGTACCGAACCTCGGCCCTCCTGCCACTGCAAACCATCCTCGGGAAGGTGATCTGGAACAAGTTGTTTGCCTTCTGGTGTCCTCAACTGTAAAAACACGATGACTTTGCTTCTCTGTGTTGCATTCAAAGATATTATGAGAAAATGTGGGCAAAGTAGCGTAATTATCCTTTTCAAAGATTTGGCAATCACAGTGCTTTGTGAAATATTTATGTCAGTCAAACTAAACATCTAACAAACCAACATCTAACTCATTACCTTTTCTTCATGAGACAAAGTGACGAAAAGAGCTCTCAAGAATAGCGCTCTCTACTTTTTTGTAGAAAAATGGAATGGAGGGATCTTGGGGACTAAGACTCTGTTAACCATGTCTAAGAACTTCTTTTTAAGTTAGCAGATTGAAATTTAAAAATGTGTAATTTTCCAGGCCTTAGAAGACAACATAGTTAAATTGATTCTGTCGATTTACAAGTAGGTCTATTGAGCTCATTAAAGCTAATGAAGTAAACACATTTTTTTTTTCGACAACAGGAACTCCCCACTTTCTTCTCTAGCTGTGCTTGTGATTTTTCACCTTCCTTTGGGGACGTCTACAGAGGGGAGAAGATACTGTGATATAGAGGAAGGGCGTTGTCCCAGAGGAAGCCCAAGAGTCACCTTCATTAACAGGGAAACCCCGTAGGAGGCTTGGCCATAATTTATTAGGATGCGTGGTACTAAGTTAAAAGGACGTTTGCGAATCAAGTAAGACTTGCTTGGTTGTAAACATTTTTTAAAAAGTATTCAGGAGAAAAGAGAATGCAGATGGCCCTAAGGACACCCTGCACTCCAGTCTTGGTGCTCTCCCTGAGCCACCTTCGCTCCTAACGACCGCTTTGACACCATCACAGCTGATCGTCTTGAAGTACCTCAGAGGAGAAAACGTTAGAATTGTCTTATATCAAGTGGCAGGCGGTGAGTCACCTGGGTAAGGAGATATAAGAATTCTCCCCAAATCCATGTGGTTCCTTCCCAGGAAGCCTAAATGTCTATGTGTGTTTCTTTGTAAACATGTACAAGATTTTCTAGAGGAAGGAGTCAATTAGAAGCTGACTTTTTTTTTTTAGGAGATGAATTCTCAGCTGTTCAAGTCAGAGAGGGTTATGCTTCTCATACATAAGAAACTAATCTTGCTGCCTGGAAGTTAACTGATCCATGAACCACCATGGCGCCAATATAATGCTGCCCAAGCCACGGTGATTATTCTCGCCTTTGACTGACTTTTGAGTCAGATTAAAAGCTGGGTTCTCTATACTACCCTGCAGTGCATTTTGCTTGCTTGTGGGATATTTTATTAATCTTACCTCTTTCAACTTATTTTAGGTAGAAAAGAAAAATTGTAAATTATGTTATTATAAGCTAAAACATGTAGAGACCACCCACAGTATAGAAAATTAGTATTTTCTCTCCTAGAAGAGTTACTATCTTACTATCTTCATACAGTATAGGAAAGGAAACTATACATTCTTCATTTATCGAGGTAGGTATGTTGTAAAGTTAGGGTACAAAAACATATCATTTCCTAAGAGGACACTTGTGATGTTATTTTACTTTTTTCTTAATAATAGGAAATATGTAGAATCAGATTATATTGTTTAAATGTCAATGATTATAGTAGTAGTCAAAACTTTTTTCTTCTAAGATGGGACAATTGTGTGAGTGAGTGTGTGTATGTGTGCAGGGGTTTCCATAATCCGCTATGTGCAACACAGTGTTATGACTGTCTCCAGAGTCCAGGGATGAATAATTATGAAATAAGTGACATCCTATTGGCCCTTGATAAAATTGTGGTAAAATTTTGAAAATTTGGCCGTATATGCAACTGGAATGCTGAATAGAATTTCATCTTCTTGAGTTAACAGGTTGTGTCCTCTCTTTTTTCATTGCGTCTCCCTATTGAGTATAGAAACAGGAACATCCAGAAATACGATCCTGCTTTACTTCATCACGTTACTTAATGTTAATTTTGTATTTGACAAAAGCCTTTGGTAGTTAATGATGTGTACCTGTGTGCCTCTTAGAATGATGGAGAGTAGCTTTCCCTGTTGCCTGCTCCTCTCTCTCCTTTCCTCTATTTCTGCCCTCCTTTCCCTATTTGGGGGCCCCCTCTTTCCCCGGGGATAACCTAGCTGAGCCCAGATTATGCTGTGCTCACTGACAGCTCCTTTCCATTCCCTGCTTAATGCAGCTCCCCAGTGCAGCCTCACGTGGGTCTGTCAATGACACAGGGAGGACCAGGTTGCTCCCAGCCCTCCCCCGGGGTGCTCACCCCTGTATTGCTATGGCAGGGGCAAGTAATGCCAACAGTGCTCGTCCTCTCTCCAAACGGCAGCGTTGATTCTTTTCTTTAAATGAACCTTGGAGAAGGGAAGGACTGAGAGATTTAAGAGGCAGGAATTCATGTCATGCGCTACAGCAGAGCAGCCGTAGCCACGGCAGCAGCAGCAGCAGCAGCAACAGCAGCAGCAGCGAGTCTTTCAGAGAGACTGCACCATTTTCTTCTCACCCTGCATAGAGGTGTGGTTGGAAGCGGCAATCAGCTACCCACCCCCTAGCAGATCCACAGAGGTGGCCTCTTCCTGGCTCCAGTCGGAAGACACAGACTGTCTGGAGGAGTCCCCAAAGACCGTTCCAACTGGTGATGCGTGTCTAAGGAAGGCTTTTTCCAACTAGTAGGATGCTTGTCTGCACTTGCGGCCTCCCAACTGCTGAAGAGCTTGAAGTCTAGTGCTCCGCCCTCCCCGGGGACCATTTCCGAGAGTGGGTGCAAACCTCTGCCTGCGCGTGTGCAGGTGTCTGCTGCTGAGGCGCTTGGCCTGGGACCTTGGTACGTCGTGGTGAATTATGGGTGCTGCAGAGGCTGGAGCAAGATTATGACCTAGCTCGGGGGCGGAGTGGATTATTTTGTGAGTGTTCTGGCTGCCAGCCATTGGCCTGGTAGGGCAAGTCACATCTCCATCTAGCTCTTAAAATCTCCTGGATTGCTAGGGAGTGGAAACTGAGCCGCGGCAACTGCTTCTGCTGATTTCCTCTGCAAAATGGCTCATGCTGCTGCTTCTATTAAAAAAGTTCGAGAGGCTGAACTGGATGAAAAGGAAAAAACCCTTGAGAGAGAGAGAAAAAAACAACGGAAAATCCCCAGAGAGCGCATGGAACGGAAAAGAAAGGTATGAGGAGCGTCTCTTTAACCCTTTCTCTCTGTGGCTCACTGTAAACCCTCAGAACTGGCAACTTCATCCTCCCTTCCGTCCATCATTCCCCTGCACCATCCCCAGGCTCAGTTTGCAGCCTATAGCTCATGCCTAAATTTGCTGCATTGGGAGGAGATGCCTGACCAGGGCAAATTCCCTTTGCTTTAACCAAGCAAAGATAAAAATGCCTGCACCTCATTTTTCTCTGTTTTTCTCAATTATCTTTATTCAATCTCAAAGCCAAGTGCTTTATTTCTCCAGGCCACTCTGAACACTTGTCATAGAAGAAGGAAGGGGTTGATTTATGCTTGGAAGGTTAAAGTATTTCCCTCTTCTTGTTCCTCATCTCTACTACTAGATAGATCTTTAGCACTGCGCCTTCTCAGTGACTTTATATATTTGATTTAGATCTCTACTTAAGAGTAAACCACAGGTTTTATTTACTCTTTTTTTTCCCTTCTGAAGGTTGACACTGTTCTATGTGAAACCACACTAAGAATACTGGTGCAATGAGCCATGTCACTGAATTTTAAAAATTTTAATTTTAATTAATTTATTTTTGATTGCCATCATTAATCTTATGGTTTTCTTTTCTGACTATAGCAATTAAATGAGAAGACTAAGGTTAAATAAAGGGGAAAAATATTGATTCTCTTTACATTAAACTATAGAATTGTTGTCTGTTTCTGTCTTTTAAAATATTTTTTTCTTTCAAATAGAAATAATCTTATAACTTGATGGAACTGAAATATTCATTTAGCGAGTGGTCTGGTTCTATCGGGGAAGAAGATCTCTGTAAATGCTTTAATGAACAAAGTAGGTCACTGAATAGTTTCAGAAGATGCTAAATGGCATATCACATTAGCAGAACATAAAAATAGTGATTTGAACGCAAGCTGTTGTTAAACATAGCTCTGGGATTAGGGATGTGCTGGGGATCCCCAGATGCTCACTAATCCATATGCTTGGTGCCTTTTTTGGTTCCATAATAGATATGTTTACCTTTCCATTTTGGGGATGTTATCTTTGCCTCATTTTTGGAAAGATGCTTAAGAACTCACAGTGAGTTGAGATCTTACTGCATAGAGATTCGTTACATTTCAGTTTTACTACTTTTCCCCACCAGTTAGATCACATGATTGCTGTTAGGCAACACAAATAAATAAAATTAGTGTATATTATAATTTCCCTTCCGGGGAAAACTTTAATACAGTCTGTCTGCCCTTTACAAGACCTTGTTTCAAGGATGCATTAATTCTTTTTCGTGATATCAAAAGTATTATTGGCCATCATTGTGGGAACTGGCTTCCTTCTTGACAGCTACTGCAGTTCTGTTTCTAGTCCTCTAAATGGAGCGTTACTGCATGAAGCAGTTTCCTGTGATTATATCTTTTTTACGTTTTGTTCTTCAAAACACAGTATATTATACCTTGGCCAGGACTGCTTGTTCAGCATCCAGGTGTGACCTAGTAACTTTGTTTGGCTAGAGAACCATGCAGACACCTGGAAGAGCTCTTTGTCTCACTCTCGTATCTGCATCTAGTTCAATTTTTTTCCTTTTTCTGTGCTTTATTAAAATTGTAAAACTACATCATTAAAATGAAGAAGTGCCAATAGTTGTTCAGAATCTCCGTTGCCTGGATGCTGCATTGTTTTTCCTTGAATCCAGAAAGGAGGCAAGATCATTGGTTAATAACGTGGTCAGACGATGGGATCATCTCTGACTTTCACGTTTTAGATAATATCATTAAGCTAGAACCAGAGGAAATTGGGGTAATAATGGCATAGCTACTCTTTGTTCGTGTTCTTCTCTTTTTTTTAAACATACCTATTGGACCGCTTCCCCTTTCTACTGCAGATGAGCGAGGCATTACATAGGTATTTACTCAGCACAGCAGATACTTGCTAAAAGGGTGGCTGGGTTTTTAAGCTGTATCAGATTTATTTTCTCATTTCCATCTCCCCTACCCCAACACACATAGCTGCTTGAGCAAGTTCTGAAATTTGGTTTAAGAGAAGAAAAATTTACATCATTATCATTCCATAAGGTTTATAAAACGGTAGTTTATAAAGAAATGAAAAAATGATGGTTGCCTGTTAGCAGCACTCTGGAACACCATCTCCAGAAAGTTATCTAAAAATTATTCTGCTTTATTTGCTGAGCCATTTTGTAACCATATGGGAATCCATCAGTTGTAGAGATGACTGAGTGTGTCATTAACGTAGCACTCATGAAGTGTCTTGCAAATGAACTTGTTTATTCGCAAAATTCAGATGGGACCTGCCCCAATGCAGATAAATCCAACTGCGGAGCTTGAAAAAATAAATAAGCTGACTTTGAAAAGATTTTTCCTGAAGTAAAAATTATTGAGTATTATATCAATTAGGTAGTCTCATATTTGGATTTCATTTTACTATTCTTTTGTAAATTTCCTATTAAAAGAATCTTTGCATTATTATGTTGTACTCCATGAAACATTTTAAGTAAATTTCAATTATGTGTAAACTTAAAACACATTGCATATTTGGCTATAAGCCCTCTAGCAAGTTCTCAGTGGTATGGTTTTTTTAAATGGCTATATTTGTATAGTAGGGGACCTAGTTTCAGCCTCATCATCAGCAGAATTTACCTTAGAATAAAATGTTCAGGCTTCTTTGGGCTATAATGTGGATAGCTAATATTTAAATATAGTATGTACCAAATGTATATTGTGTAGGTGTCATACTGTGGTAGAGCTAGAATAAAACTGAGCTTTAAGCAAATGGACCAAGATTAAGATTAGTTAAAACAAATTAATTTAACGTTTATTTACTCAAAGGAGTACATTAATATTCTAGCTTTTTACAGGGATAAGAGGATATTCCTGTTCTAATTATTAGCATATATTAACTTAAATCGTTTCTTTTTATGTCGAGATGTCTAGTTTCTACAATAAAACCTGAGCATTTTAGACTCGAAGAGGATGCCCACAGAAAAACGGTTTCTCACAAACTTCTAAGACTTAATTCTAGAAAGCAATTTTGAGCATAATAGTCTTTCCACAACCACATACTATTTCTCAACTGTACTTTTTTTAAATTTGGAAAAATAATTAACTTTCAGAGAATCAGTAAAAAAAAAAAAAAAACAAAATAATTCCATCCTTGAAAGTAAAGCATGTATTTACGTGGTCTTCCTCATTTAAACTTATGAATACAAGTTATTTTCAAATAAATAGATATGTTCTCCATTTCTCAGCATGGACAAACCATTTTCCAATCCATCATAATGTCTGTAACACTCATTGGAATCATATGACATAAAAAGCAATTTGCATGACTAGTTCTTAGCATCTAATACTTAAGAATTCTTCCTATTATTTTAATTCATCCTATTAAAAATGACAGAGTTCATATTTCCTGTAAAAAAATGTATGATAATATTTATTGAGTGCCAATGTGGCCCTGTATCTGGCACTTTACGCACACTGTGCTGTTTAATCCCAATGACAGTCCTACACATTAGGCATTAATTCTCTCCATTTCACAATTAAAGAAACTGAGACTCAGAGTTATAGAACTAGCTTAATCATATGCAACTAGTATGTGGCAGAGTTGGGATTTGAACTCAGGCTCCAAAATTCATTGGGGAAAAAAGGTCATATGATTTCTTGGTCTTGTACCTATGCTGAATGTAGACTGGAAGTAAATCAATTAATCTGCCTGTGCCTCAATTTCTTCACCTCCAAAATACCTTTCTACAAGCAAAAGAAATTTACTGTGAGAATGAGTTAAAAGACATATTTGAGAGGAAACTATATAAATTTAAGGTTGTGATTCTATGGTAAATTTCATGAGATTTCGTGGAAAATTAATTATTAGAAATCAACATTCGCTCCTTGTATATAGTAATTGCAGTCAGTGATAGACTATGATATATCATCATTCTTTTTTAAAATTTTATCAGGACCTCAAAATGTATTTGTGTATTTACATTTATTAAACTGACACAGAAAGGTGATTTTATGTGGGATTGAGTAGAAAATAAAACCAATTTTTTTCCAAGTCCTTTTCATTGAATTTCATAGACAAAGGTTGATCAGTTCTTTGCTTTTGTTTTTTTATGTATGTCATTATTATCTTGGCGAGAACAAGACTTACTAATTTCTAGGATAACCTTTGGGAGACACTACCCCACAATTTCTCCATGTCCATGTGGTTATTAAGTTGATCACAATGGTAATACTTATTGGGTAAATATAGTGGACTTATCACCAAGCTGTAATGGGACATGGAGAGATGTGGACTTCTAAAAGTTTCTGTATGAGTATACTTTGTTAAAATGGAAGAATGTTTTATTTTTAAGTGCGGAGAGGAGTGTATTCTGTAACTTCTGAATTGTGTTGTAAGATGAGTTGTAAATAAACATAAAATGGCTGGCTGTGCCTGTTCTCGCTGGTGGTGTGTGGGTGAGCCCTGTCGTGTAGGAGGAGAGTGGACAGGCCAGTCACCCCTCCTGTCCTTTAGTCTTCTGCTTAGGCTCTCGGCAGCTTGATTCCAAAGGGAAGCCCAACTCTGAGAGCAGCAACACTTAGAACCATGTACACAAAGATTTCTGGGCACCAAGCCAAATACAAATTAAAAATACAAATCACAGCAGAATAATATGGTCCTGTATAATGTTTTACATTCTAGAACTCTTCAAACATGGAAAATTCTGGTACCGATTTTTAGGCCTTACATCGAATTGTTTTTATATAACTTCCTATACCCACTTTGTCAATATGTCAGTACTTCCAGAAGCCACACTAACATGAGGTAGATTGGTCAGTCTTGAGCTTTATCTGGATAGTTGCTCTTCTTATGTCTTAATGCCCACTTATAAGTGAACACTTAAAGGTTTTGTGGATTTGCTTTCCCACTTGAGTCTGAATAAATATGTTCAGGCTTATCTATTTACATGTGGAGGCTGCCATAGAATCATGATTTTTTTAAAA